AGTGATGCTGGCCACATGACCACGGAAACGTCTTCGGACAGCGCTGGCTCTTCGGCTTTGAAACGGAGATGAGCACCGCAACCCTAGATTCGACTGGCTTTCGAGCAAGGGAACCTTTACCTAGCACCTTAAAGACTAACAAAATTTGTGGTAGGGTATGAGCTTTTGTGAGTCACTGCTCATGTCTTCAGATACACTTCTGAAGAAGTGAGCAGTGACTCACAAAAGCTCATACCCTACTACAATTTTTGTTAGTCTTTAAGGTGCTAGGTAAAGGTTCCCTTGCTCGAAAGCCAGTCGAATCTAGGGTTGCGGTGCTCATCTCCGTTTCAAAGCCGAAGAGCCAGCGCTGTCCGAAGACGTTTCCGTGGTCATGTGGCCAGCATCACTAAACACCAAGGCGCACAGAATGCTGTTACCTTCCCACTGAAGTGGTACCTATTTATCTACTTGCAATTTCTTGCTTTCGAACTGCTAGGTTGGCAGGAGCTGGAACTAGAGACGGGAGCTCACTCCATCATGCGGCAACTCAGGTCTCGAACTGCTGAACTACCGACCTTCCACAGCCTGCAGTTCAGCGTCTTAACCACTTGAGCCACCACAGCTCCATTTAAGGTGCTACTGGACTCTTTTCTACTATTCAGTAGATTGCGAGGGAAGCCAGTGTGGTGTAGAGGTTAGACTATCTGGGAGACCCTACTCTGCCATGGAAGCTTGCTGGGAGATCTTGGGCCAGTCACACAATCTCAGCTGAACCTACCTCACAGGGTTGCTGTGAGGATAAAATGGAGGAGAGGAGAATGATGTAAGCTGCTCTGAATCCACTGGAGAGAAAGCCAATATATAAATGAAGTAAAGAAATAGACAGAACATTGAGAAGCTGTGACTAATATGTACAGAAGGTAAAACCAAATTGTGTATAGTCTGTAATAAAAAGATCAAGGCAAGAATAAGATAGGAATGTTTGTTTTTATCACTGCTCAGCAGAATAGCTTTGCTTTTACTGAATTGTCGCTTTAAACAGAGGGGTGATTCTGCGTATGGTCAGGGCCTATATGAGCCTGGCACTGCACACTTCTTACAAGGCTGGAGAGAATCCTGTTGTCTGGTTATTTTTAGTATGTCCGTATGATTCAGTGTAGATGTTTCCACTTCTCAGTCCTAAATAACTACCTGGTTCTCACGAGTGACAACCAAATAGCTACCAAATACTTTCTTTAAAAGGCAGTAAAAACATACACACACACACACACACACACACACACGTACATTACATAAACAAGGCTGATATAATTAGGGGAACTTTTGGAACCACTGTTTTATAGTAGGTAGAAAGCACATCAAATGTGATTCCAGATGAAATGGCAAAGAGATGTAAAAGTTTAGGGTCAGATGGAAATTAGGAATCACCATCTTTCAAAGGTACATGTGAGGTATGGACTGTGCTGCTTTGGAGCAGGACCCTGTGGAAAGAAAGGACTGGATTTGTCTACCAAAGCTGAATGTCCTATGCTACTATTAGTGCTACAAGGAAACCCTACATGAGAAATCACGGGCATCCATTTTGTCCTCCCCCCCCTTCCAAGACTGGCAGAAGCATGGGAGAGGGTGTTGACAAGCAAACACTGTGCCAACCCTCTTCTCCCCCTCGCCCCATTCTGAATCAGGACTGCACACATCTGAATTGTATTTATTTCTTTTCATGCTAAAAAGACCATCTTCAGATTTCCAGCCATCTCCTGTGTTTTCACTCACAGACTCCAGCAAATCTGCGGGGGAAGAAAGCATCACCACTGTAAGGCAGCTGTAGAGGGCATCTTTCTATGTGCCGGCGCTCTCCATGTTTGGTATAGCGAGAGTAAGCTCCAAAGAGTATCCATCCTTGAGTGACCTTGAAGCATACTGGGGTACAGGAAGGACAATAGGCTCAATGTACGAAGGACTCATAAAGGAGCCACGTTCAGCTGTGTTACAGAATCTTTTGCAATTTGCTCCATATTATTTATTTATTTATTGAATTTATACCCCGCCCTCCCAGCCAAGGCCGGCTCTGGGCGGCTCACAAAATCTGTCATGCAAATCATAGTTTTATGAGACATCTTTGTGGAACTCACCTCCCATGTTGCAGTGACTTGTCATAACTAACCAAAGGGGTCAAAACTTAGTTGGGACTTGCTACATTCATTTTTGAGGTACCAAAATCACACACAGCCAATTTTTAACTGAGTGCAGAGGGCATTGTCTGTAATAGTCCCTGTGACACCAAAAATGGAGCAATTTTCACATGGTGTCTATTTCAGAGGAACACCTCCTCCTGTAAAATTGAAAATTTATTAGAGTGGAAGGCTGTGTTCCACACTAGCAGATATGTCTGAACATTATCAAGGGCAGCTCCACATGACAGGAAAACAGTCACCAAGATTGGCTGTTCTCTGCATTTAAAACACGGTGATGGGTTCAGAAGGAACAGACAGGCTTCTTGTCATCAGTGACAGATGTCCTGGTCTCCTCCACCTTCTCCGAAACACACAAGCTGTTTCAGCTTGGCGTAGTGCAGTGGTGGCGAACCTATGGCACGGGTGCCAGAGGTGGCACTGAGAGCTCTCTCTGTGGGCACACGTGCCATCGCCCCAGCCAGGCCCAGACCATCATTAAAGTGTTGAATTCTCTGCCAAATAATTTTAAGTAAATGAAAGCATTTGGGATTGCTATCCTTACTTTGTTTGGATCATCTTAAGTTTGGTGTAGTGGTTAAGTGTGTGGACTCTAATCTGGGAGAACCGGGTTTGATTCCCCACTCCTCCACTTGCACCTGCTGATGTGACCTTGAGTCAGTCACAAGCTCTGGCACAGCTGTCCTTGAAAAAGACCAGTTTGTGTCAGAGTTCTCTCAGCCCCACCCACCTCACAGGGTGTCTGTTGTGGGGAGGGGAAGGGAAAGGAGTTTGTAGGCCGCTCTGAGACTCCGAGTGAAGGGCGGGGTATAAATCCAATCTCCTCCTCCTCTTCTTCTTCTTAATGTATGAATTGTTTTTTCTAAAGTAAAACCTCAGTATTCAGGTTAAATCGCCATGTTGGCACTTTGCGATAAATAAGTGGGTTTTGGGTTGCAGATTGGGCACTCGGCCTCTAAAAGGTTCGCCATCACTGGCATGGTGGCTAGAATGTCGGACAAGGATATAACAATTGCTTTAATCCAATCTCAGCTATACTTCTTGCCCATTCACTTACGCTTCTTAACTCTAACGAGCCCTTCCTGGCAACTCAGCTGTCTCAATGTATCTGAAGAAGTGTGCATGCACACAAAAGCTTATTCCCAGAATGAAACTCTGTTGGTCTTAAAGGTGCCACTGGACTCGAACTTTGTTCTGCTGCTTCAGAACAACACGACGACCCGCCTGAATCTATGGACAAGGATCTGGGAGATACTTTGCATGGGAGCTCAGTGGGTGACCTTGGGCCAGGTACGGTCTTTCACCCTAACCTACCTCACAGGCAGGATAAAATGGAGGAGGGAGACCAATGAATACTGCCCCGAGCTCCTTGGTTATCCTTGGTGGGATAAAAATGTACTAATAACAAATTTGCAAAGCCTGAGCCATTATGACTTCCATATTCTGTCTATATTCATCTTCATTTGGTCTGTCAGATCCAGGCCAGACACTGAATAAACATCTAGAATGTAAGATGTGAGTGAAATGACAAATATTGTCAGAGTACTGATGACATTAGATTCAGCCTCTCTCAACTGTACAATATTAGGCCTGTATGCTTCTGTCCTTCCCTTATCACAGCATCTCAGAAATAACTCATATCCCCACTGGGCTATTTGTTAGGAAACGGGACAGGAAGAGGAGCCAATTAGGCACTAAAATGAATAAGATAACAAAAAAACAGCCTTGTACCAGTCAAAAGCTCAGAGTTACACACTGCCTCACTTCCTGTTTCTATCTGAAAGTCAACATCTGGGTGCAAAGGCAATGGCTTGGTGCCAAACCACTGGAGGAAGTGGACTTCTACTGGCAGAGAAGAGGAAGTGATTTTTCAGCAATTGCCTCCTCCCAATGCAGACACCCCCCCACACACACACACATCGCACCCAGCACTGACTCTGGGGATCCCCTGGCTCCTAGGGTTCAAATATCAAAGGGTACCAGGCCTGTAGTGAGGATTTTGTGATTCGGGGGGTCTTTAAATAAATTGGGGGGCACTGACGTCAGTTGTGGAAGCAAGCCATGTTTGGAGAAGGGGTAGTGGCAATGGGGGCCTGGGCTAGATGGAAGTTGTGGGGCCTTGGTAGGAAGTCAGGGGGCCAGCCCCCCAAATGCCCCACTGTAGCTATGGGCCTGAAGGGTACAGTAGGCAAGGGGAAATGGGAAAGTTTGGTTCCCCTTGCTGGGCTCTGCCCACACAATCTGTCTCTCACCTTTTAACCCTGCTCTTCCTCCAAGGAGCTCAGGGTTGCATTTGTGGCTCTCCTTGTGAGGGAAGTGAGGCTGAAAGAGAGCGACTGGCCCAAGGTCACCCACTGAGCTTCATGACAAAACAGGGACATGTTAGGTTGCATCTGGGCCCATAACACACATGGAGGAGACTGGCTCTTCTGTTTCTATGAGGGGAGCTCTAGTCGCCATCCAAACGGCAGTGCTCTCTTTGGAACCGGAAGTGCCAATCAAGTTTCCTTGGAACTGGGACACCTTGCTTGTTCTTTCAATGTCAGATGTTCTTGACAACAAGCCACGGACTTACCACAACGTTTTGGAAAGCCTGGGCCATTCGCCGCTGGAAATTCGCCCGCTTCAACAAAACAGGGACATGTCAGGTTGCATCTGGGCCTGTCACACACATGGAGGAGACTGGCTCTTCTATTTCTGTGAGGGGAGCTCTAGTCGCCATCCAAACGGCAGTGCTCTCTTTGGGACCGGAAGTGCCAATCAGGTTTCCTTGGAACTGGGACACCTTGCTTGTTCTTTCAATGTCAGATGTTCTTGACAACAAGCCACGGACTTACCACAACGTTTTGGAAAGCCTGGGCCATTCGCCGCTGGAAATTCGCCCGCTTCAGCTGCAGCATGATGAAAAAGGCCAGCAGTATTGTTAGGCAGGTCATCCCTGCTGAGCCAAGGATAGCGATCAGCAACATCTTCCCTCCTTTGGACTCCTGTGGAACTGGAAGAGCAGATGGATTATTCTTGATTGATTTTTTAAAAGAAGAAATCCCCCTGTCATTAACTCGCACAGCTGTTCCCCTAACGCGGGGATCCCCCAGAGGGGTGCCCTTGCTACCACTTTTCCTGACCTCCCCCCCGCGCCAAGTGTTCTTAGAAAGTGGGCAGGGTCAGGGGGGCTTTTGCCAAGCAAGGCTTCTGGAAAGCCATTGGAGATTGGACTGGCTGTGCAGGTTTTAATACATGTTTCGGAAGCAGCTGCCACCACAGCACAAGGATATTTTCTGTGTGATTGAAGGTAAGCTGTGGCAGCCATCCTGTGGTTTGCTTTACCTTACGCAGCAACCATTCTGTAGCTGCACCCACCACAGTGCGTCAGGAATCCAACGATGCCTGAAGGCTCAAAAAGGTTGGGGACCCCTGCCCTAATGCCTCTCTTTTGATTTGTCTTTCTCACCCTCCAGTTTGACATAGGACCACTTACTTCCGGCAAGTCACAAGGACAAGATGTAGAGTTCCTGCAAAGATTTTTGATCACCCACCAGTTTCACTTGTAGAACAAAGTTTGAGCCCAGTGGCACCTTTAAGATCAACCAAGTTTTATTCTGGGTATAAGCTTTCGTGTACACACACGCACTTCTCCAGTTACACTGTGTCATGCTCACTGTTAGTGATCACGGGAGCTGAACATTTGCCCTACCTGGCTCCAAACCACTCACAGTTGTACAGATGTGGGATAGCTGTTCTGGCACACATTTTGCTTCTACATTTCTTTGGATGTACCTTTTGGATTATTTGGTGCCTGAACAGCTGGACCTGTCCTTTGGGAATTGGACTTTTCTCTGACTGACCTATACTGATAGGTAGCAATAGCTCCCACTTTACCTCTTAATCTATCCCTTTGGTCCCTTTCTCCCCCTTCTAGACCATTGCATGTTGCACAGTGTTTATATGTGCTTGGGGTATAATGCTCTCAACATGGACGTTCTAGTGTCAGGAATTAAATTAAATGATGGGTATTATTGTGACTGTTTGAATTTGGTAGTCCTCCAGGCCACCTGCTTCCATTATACCTCTCAGCAGAGGTCATTTCGGGGGGGGGGAACGCGGGGGAACACAGTCCCCCCGGGTGAGGTGCAGGGGGCGTACCTTTTGGATTATTTGGTGCCTGAACAGCTGGACCTGTCCTTTGGGAATTGGACTTTTCTTTGACTGACCTATACTGATAGGTAGCAATGGCTCCCACTTTACCTCTTAATCTATCCCTTTGGTCCCTTTCTCCCCCTTCTAGACCATTGCATGTTGCAGAGTGTTTATATGTGCTTGGAGTATAATGCTCTCAACATGGACATTCTAGAGTCAGGAATTACATTGAACAATGGGTATTATTGTGACTGTTTGAATGTGCTAGTCCTCCAGGCCACCTGCTTCCATTATACCTCTCAGTAACCTTTGTTAATTCTAGACTTCTACCCAGAACACCTCCATGTGCTGACTGAATGCACGGGAAGGGACAGTGAGCATGAGTGCATTGGTCCCACCTCCACCCCATTTCTGCTTGATTGCCCGTTTGTCTACACAGTGCAAACGTGCTGTGGACATGTCCGCTCTTATGCTCCCTCCCTTTGGTTTCCAAATGTTGTTTGCTGAGCACTGGGAGTACTTGTGTGGACATTTCTTCTGTGTGTAGGGGCCATGCTGACAACATCCATGTACCTGCTCTCTCTCTCTCTGGGCTCCGTCAACCCTGTGTACACGTTTAGAGGTTTCATTGATCCTCTGTGTTCCTTCCAAGCCTCTGGAGGAGCTTCAGCAGCCAAACCCTTGTAGCCATTTGTATGGGGGGGCGCTGCCCTGATTAGGGATGGTGTGTTAAACTACAGTTGCTGCAGATCTTGCAGCAAGCATATTTGGCAGTCAAACATACTGTTTTCAACATCACATGCCATTTTTGTGGTCACTAGGGAGCTATGGCTGTGGATCAAACGTCTGTCTGGAAGGGGAGCCACTATGGGGCGGGGGGAATGAAGCTCTGAGTTCAGAATGATGCTGTGTGGCAAGTTGCCCTGCAAACACCCTCTCCACACACACACACTTTTACCCTTTTCAAAGACACATTCCCCTTTTCAGTCCAGCCACACTGTACGCTTACAGGACAACTGGGCTGGGAAAGGGAAGATTTCAGGGCGAGGGAGGGCAGGCCGAACGATCACCATCGTGCTGCCCTTTGATGCACACGTGAAGGAGGAAAGAGGGAACAGCAGAGTGTGGGAATGTGAGACAGCTGCAGGTGGACCAAGAATGGACGGGAGAGGATAACAGTCTCCCTCTCTACTTTCTGCTGCTGCTGCTGTAGCAGGGGTGTGCTTTGGCCAAACCAAGCAGATACAGCCCAGGACTACAAAAACTTTAATGTATTCTAAAACACAACACTTTTCATTTGGACAATTATTTGCCAGTTGCCAGCCTTGGACCACTTAAACTATGCACATGAATGCCCATCATATATGTTGTACGAATATATTCCCAATCCAAAAAGAAGCCACAATGAGGAGGAAGTTCTTTGGATATTTAATTGCCATGAAATTTCGGAAAACAGTTAGGCCAGACTAGCCGATCAAAAATCGACTATTGCTTTCTGAGCAATATAAGGAAGGACACGAAGTTTTATACCCAAAATGACATAGGCAAAAAGAGAACATCCAGAAATCATAATTGGTCACAGAATATTACAGAGCATCGTTTGAGTAGTCATTCATTCATTGGTCAGTCACAGGAAAAGGTGTGACTACATGATATCTTAAATGTTTATTTAACGTAACCTTATTAATAATACCCAAGGATTCTTCATACCCAAACAAAAGATGTTGTTGTTCAGATATGAAACTAAAGCCCATGTTGACCCAGACACTGCAGAGTTTTACCCCAAACAACTACACCCATGAACTCTATACTTCAAGCAAATACATCTATTGAAAAATCTATTTTCTGCTGTACCAGCAATACTGCCCTGAAGGCCTGTTAAAAACGCCGGACAGCTAGATAGCTATTTCATACAAACAAGTTGAAAAGGGGGGAAAGAATGTTGTTTCTTGTCTGCTAGCATCACCTAAAAAGACACTATAACCTACAAAGGAGAGGCCTTACCACTTAGTAGGCTTTTATTAAATCCTAATAAAATCTTAATGTAAACATTCATAAAGCCAGAAAATATAAGTATATATGAATAATCTGAATTTAAAAAATCATTATATATTCCCGTCCATGCTACATATACGCTCACAGTTTCCGCAGAAGTCAGCTCTCAGCTCAGCACTAACCTTTTGCTTCTGGTGAGGTTCTCAGTTCATAAGAAGGGTTGGGATTGCTCTGCCCCACGTTGTTGTAGGCACTTATTTGAACCATGTATTCAGTGTCTGGCTCAAGACCCTTGAGTTGGTACTGAGTCACGGTGGTGTTTCTTATTGTTACATCAATGTGGTTGTACTCAGCCTTGCCATAAATTTTATAGCTGAGCATGATAAAGGAGATGGAATGTCCTTCAGCTGTTGACCAAGAGATGATAGCAGAGGAGTCGGTGATGTTTTCAATCCGGACGTTATTGGGTGACGGTGGAGTTCCTAGTAAACAAGCAGAATGTGTGATATTTCACATTAGTCTCTGCTCCTTCTAGGTTCTAGTCTTGATTTTAATCAGGGCTCTTTTTGTAGAAAAAGCCCAGCAGGAACTCATTAGCATAATAGGCCACACCCAACACCAGAAACTCATTAGCATATTAGGCCACACCCCTGCCAGCACAGCTCAGTCGCACATTAGGACGCACCCCCATGTTACCAGAAGTGTGGTAATCCAGCCACACCCACCTTTTGCTTGTTATTCTGTTTACCTTGTTTGTTGTCAAAACCCAGGGCCTTTTTTTGTAGCAGGAACTCCTTTGCATGTTAGGCCACACACCCCTAATGTAGCCAATCCTAATGAGTTTCTGCTGTTGGGTGTGGCCTATTATGCTAATGAGTTCCTGCTGGGCGTGGCCAACTCGGGAGCCAGCCGGAACTCCGTTCCTGCGCGTTCCTGCCCCAAAATAGCCCTGATTTTAATTATCCATAATGAATCTGGATATGGTTGTCAGAGAACAACATCCTGAGATCACCTTCACAACAGTGAATTCAGTAATCAGTTTAAGAGCTATCTGCATTATACATTTTGCTATTGTTTCAATTACTTGGCATTGATAGAGCTATTGCTGTGAGATAGCGGTCGAATCTGCATTTGCATTTTAAAGCCAGTTTCGTGCTGCTGTGACGCCGTCTTTCTCTATGCTGATATCCCTTTTGTTGTGATTACATGATTTTCCAGTTGGACCAGGATCTGGGAGACTTGGGTTTGAATCCCCTGCTCTGCCACATATGCTTGCTAGGTGACCTTGGGGCAGACACACACTCTCACTCTAGCTTTACTCAAGGGTGTTATGAGGATAAAATGGTGAAGGGGAGAATGTTGGAAGCCATTCTGAGTCCCTGTTTGAGGAGAAAAGTGGGGTACAAATGAAGAAAACAAAATACATTCTATTCACTCACGGTCACTGAAGGTCCATGCATACAGGTAGGTACTCCATTCTCCTTGGGACTTGCTGTTCACACGGATTCGGCACATGTACTGGTGTCTGGGCTCCAAATTCTCAATAATCAGCATAGACTCATTTCCTGGCAGACTAACCCATGTGGTGCTATCCCCATTCCTATAATTCACACTCTTCATTTCTACTTCAACATGGACGTCATCTTCAAAGGGCTGAATGAATGGCTCCCATGACAACTGCAGGGATGTTGTACTTTTAGGAACAAGAGTGAGACCTCTTGGTGGAGGGAGACCTTAGAGATTGAGAGAAGAAACCTTACTGTTCTTGGAACGCTTACAAATACAAGTGCCCCCTGTTTCCCAGTAACAGCATTTAGAGAGGGGCATTTGAGCTGTAGAAGGAGGAGGTGGTGAGGCAAGGAAATCATACTCTGTGGACAGAAATCTTTCCGTCCTTGGAAATGCTCTGCTGGACCCAAGCCAATGGTGACAATCTCTTTGCTTTCTTGATCACAGCAGTTGTAATTAGAGAATTGCCTCACCAGCTGCCATTGTATATAGCAAGACCTAGTCTCATGTAATGAAATTGAGAACACACACACACACACTATTGGATACAGCTATCACCATAGCTAGCTAGATCAATAGATAGATTGCACACGAATAGGTTCATCACTTTTGGAGAAAGATGCTATTTCCTTGCAAACAGCTGTACCTGCGCACAATGACGCTTGACATACAAAAGAGTGGTATGACTATTCCTTTTATAGGAAAGGCTCAAAGGACTGCGTACCAACAGCAGCTGTAGTGAAACTGGCCTGCGGACCAGGATGTCCTTCTCCCGCATCTCCCCGGCGAGTCAGCTGGACGCAGAACTGATATTCTGTTTTTGGTTCCAGATTGTCTAGTTTTATGTTCTTTTCAGCTACTGAGTTTGAGAAGATAAAAGGGGGGGAAACACACTGGGAATTATTAAAGAATGAAAGGTTTAGATAACGACTTTATGATTCCTGAGTTGTACTGGGACATTACAAAGCGAGTAAAGAATGCAGGTTCCTATCTGATCACCATAGTTTTGAAAAGAGTTAAATGTGGCTTGATTTCTTTTATCTCATCACCACCTCTGGGCTGACTAGTTTTGCTGGTTTAAGGCAAACATCCGTACGACCTGAGCAAAGTTTGAGTCCAGTGGCACCTTTTAAGACCAACAAAGTTTTATTCAAGGTATAAGTTTCGTAGGCATGCACACTTCTGAAGAAGTAATGCAAAACCTGGCAAACGTCTAGTGAGATAAGTTTTTATCAACAGATACAGCTAACAAGCCCAGAAATATTAATTAAAGATTATGATGATGACAGCCACGAAAGCTTCAAGCTAAAGATTGCACCTATTGTAAGAATCAATACAGTACTGATGTGATGCTTCCAATCGATCTGACTACCAAGGATTAGACTAAGCAAACTTTGTGGGCAAATTCACATTACAAATGTATATCAGTTTTATACCCCATTCATTGTCATGGTGGCTTCCTCCAAAGAGTCCTGAGAATTAAAGGTTGGTGAAGGGCTGAGAATTCTCTATTTCTGAGCTCCTGCATGGGACTTGGAAATAACTGTAGCTCAGATGTGTCTTAGATCCTAAAGTAGGATATCTCCTGGGATAAGTAAACAATTATTGGCCTGGCCCTTACCCTCTATTGACTTCCAGTGATAATAAGACTTGGCATGTTTGTAAAGAATCTTGGTTGACACAATCGGTCCATCCCCTGTGTGTTGACCTGCATTCACATCAATGATGAGAAAATTATGTCCTCTCTCTACCAGCTTAGGAGCATTTATAGGCACGGGAACAACTGATAAGGAAAAAACAGAAACAACTTAATTATTAGACGAAATTACATTTTTAAAAAAAACCCAATCAGCATTCATGCTGTCTATTAAATTTCTAAGAAGCAATGCTGGAACAGAGGGATTGTTAACATGGATCAATACCATGACTTCCACACTGCTCCGTTTTTTTGAGCCCCCAGAAATAACATAGGCTAAAAGGGCTTTTTTTTAATGTAGAGGCACCAATCTTGTTTCCAGTAATTGCCTTTCCCCCCTGTGTCACGCAGGTTCAAAAAGCTAAGATCTCTACCAGTGTACAACCTTAGCTGTCACATTAGGATGATCGCTTCCTTGGTGTTCTTTGGTTATGATGACTACTGTAGCTATTCCTGGAGGTCAATACTCCCAGGCATTCTCATTGGTGACTGAAGTAATCCACTAACTTCATATATTGGCAAGTCTGACTTCTGGTTTGTTTGCTCCTATTTCTAGTATTCACTAGTTTAATACTGATAAAGCTAGGTATTTCTTCCACCTTAAGAATGAGATCTGTAATGCAGCATTAGAGCCCAGAATTGTATTATTTTCAATGTGATTAAGGTGCACCAAAGTCTGAATGCAGACGATTCTAAGGCTGCAATCATACGCACAATTAGACCCGCCATAGCTGCGAATGCTGGGCGGATCTAAAGGGCGCGATCAGACAACAACATCTGGGAAGTGCCCCGCAGCCATCGGCAACCCATTCTGCTCTGCTGCAGAAGCCAAGTTAAAAGACACCAGGGAAAATTCAGTAGAAAATGGGTTGCGACGGGTCACGGATGGACTTTCCCCTGTCTGATTGCTCCAGTGCGCTCTCATGGAGTTGGGATGGTCTGATCAGGCCATCCTGACTCTGTGTCATTGTCCGCCCCCTTCTCAGTATGTGCATGTTTGCAAACTCCATAGGGAGCCCTCAGTACGGAGATGCGATTCATCAATTCCTCGTTTAAGTGCATCAGAAACAAACGGCACCCCCCCCCGACTCACCCGTGGTTGCGTCTGATCATGCAGTGGCGGGCTATGCCCGCAGCTTCCAAGGACTGTGTGATCGCACAACTGTGGGTCAAATTCTTCCGGAGGAAATAGCCTCGCTCCGCCCCCCATTTTTTCTGGCGCGTGTGACCGTAAACTCGGTTACCTTTAACTGTAACTTGAAAAGGTTTTTCTGTCATGCCGGCTACTGTCTCAACAACGCAGACCCATGTTCCAGAATCAGGAGGCTGGACTTTTTTAATATAAAATGTAGCTTCCGACTGATTGCTTCTATTCGTCACTGAGATAGGCTGAAACAGCAAGCAACACAAAAGAATTGTTATGTCAGTGATGCACGGAGCTCTCTGAAGAATTTCACTAGTTATCAACTCCGTTTTATTAAAGGATGGTTAGGGTGATCATCCAAACGTGGGACAATCCCCTAACTATAGTCACTGAGGATTTGTCAGACTAAGATCTGTAACCTAATCACGGTTACTTTGGATTGTACTTTTGTGAGAGTTATGAAAGCCGGTATCATGAATCAGTCCTGGCTTGTTCCCTGCAGTCATCCTGACCACAATGCAAGATAGGATACCAGGTGGATCTCTGCAGGGGATGCAAAGGAAACAGAGCAACATTTGCAAAGCAAACCAGGATTTGAATGATAATCAGTGAGCTGAATCCTCGTTTCACAACCAGCCCTAGTTAAAATAAGCCATGGTATTTGCATCACTATATTTAATGAACTGTTTATTTGTTTAATGCATTTGTGCACTGCCTTTCCAGAGACTTGCCCTGGGCAGCTTACAAGCAAAATATACAAGCAACATTATAACACTCCAGAAATAAGCGATAGAACAAATATCCCCAACAACAGGGCTCTACTGGTAGCAGGAGCTCCTTTGCATATTAGGCCACACATCCCTAGTGTAGCCAATCCTCCAAGAGCTTACAGTAGTGCCAGTAAGAAGAGCTCTGTAAGCTCTTGGAGGATTGGCTACACTAGGGGTGTGTGGCCTAATATGCAAAGGATCTCCTGCTATCAGTAGAGCCCTGCCCAACAATAAAAACCATTGCGCTAGAGCAGAGGGTTGCTAGCTGTGGCTTGGGGAATTCCTGAAGATTTGGGGGAAATGCCTAGGGAGGGCAGAGTCTGGGGAAGGGAAGGGATGGAGTGATAGACAGTATGCCCTCCAAAGCTGCCATTTCCTCCAGAAGAACTTATCTGAGAGATCCAGAAGAATTCCGGGAGAACGCCAACCCCTGTCTGGATGTTGGTAACGCTACTTGAGCCGTTAAAACCATTGCAATGCTACAGTAGTATAAAAGTACTGTATTCCTCTCACCAGGCCTAACCTTGTTTCATTGTGATGCTGGCAGCTATGACACAAAACACCACTGGGGTGTCTGCCTCACTTTGGACGGAAGCTGCAATCCAAAGTTTACTTAGAACAGTCTTTACCACTTGAGTGTTTTCTTAGCTAATGTATCTTCAACACACGTGACAGTGAATTGATTCCAATATAATTTTAGGTAGGATCAAAATAGGTGGGTTGGCATTTAGAGGAATCCTTTACTATATTTTTGTCCTTGACTGCTTTGTGGTATGGCATTAATATAGATGCAATTATTCGATGGCTAAAATCCAAAGAGCCACAAATTATGTGTGCCTAATGAGGCTTTGGACTCATGTTTCTCAAACACTAGCTTCTTACTCAGCATAGCAAGCGGCTTAAAAAAACTTTTTAAAGTGGTTTATTATATGGTATGAGGATTTCCTTTTCAATTTTTTTTTTTTAAAAAACACCCCATAACTGGCACATGTAAAGGCCCAATCTGCATCCAGCATTTGGGCCGCTGTTTTATCAAACCCATGTTGGAACAAGGCCCTGTTTTATCAAACCCATGTTGGAACAGGAATCCCCTGGTGCATTGCATGCCACTTTCACTTTGATTGATTGTCGGATTTTATGGCAGTGTCCAGACTGCATGCTGCAACTTTCACTCTGTTTGATCTCTCGGTTTTATGGTACTATCTGCATAGACTTATGGCCGTCAGTCCTGCATTGGCCCAGGGTACTTGAATGTGGTTTTGAGCCGCATCTTTTCCTGTTCCAGTGAGGGTTTGGTAAAACAACCAAGCAAATGCTAGATGCAGATTGGGCCTAAATCTTTGGGAATACCTAAGGCACTTATTTGGATTCTTCCGCTTTCTCCATTCATAATTCCATTTCTTAATATTTTCATACTACAATGGTGTTGTATTGCAAGTCTGGTTATAGAATTTGCCTTTAACTTCAGCAGAAGAGCAATTAAGTGTTGATGCTTTTGGGAGCCATTCTGAAGCAAAAGTATATCCTATGGTAATAAAACTTCTTTTGACTTCCTGCTCAATAAAGGGCATAACCCCCAGGTCAATGTTTCAGCCAGTTTACATGCTATTTCATAACACCAAATATAAGTAAATATATTAGCAAATATAAGCAAAAATCTCAGAAAGCTTAAATTTCAAGGAGGTAATTAAAGAGAAGTTTTTAGAGAAGTCCTAAACAGATACATCCTTCTAAATCCAATGAAATCAAAGAGTGAATTGACCATCAGCTTACCTTAAGGACTGTTCCATCTTGTTTTATCAATTTAAATTCTTCTTGTGTAGGAAGCGGCTTGCCAGTAGCTATACAACTCGGGTGAAACTCTGAGCCAGAATTGAGTTCCAGTGCATCCTGTAAATTCTCTATTTCGGGCGATTCATCTGAAAGCTGAACCTACATCAGGCATGAAGGAATTATAACATGCTACACCCTTTTCTATTTATTTAGATATAAAAAAAGGTTACCATTCTTGACCCTTTTGGATAACCTGGCCCCAGTTTACAAGCATAAAGCCTAGAAAGTAGAACTGAAATATCTGATCATTTTAATCAATACAGTAACCAACTGAAGTTAGCTGATAAACATAACTTAGGCCCCGGTCACACGGGCTGGATATCGCAGGGGGGGGGGAAGGCGTGGCTAATTGCCCCGGAGCACACGTCCTGGTCGAGGTCCCGTGGTTAGGGGGGAGATGCCGACCAGACAGGTAGCCTGCAGCACGGCACAGAAGCCGCGCCGTGTGATTGCACTAGCAATCGCTCTTTGTGCGCATGCGCTGTTGGGCGCTGTTGCGCAACCTGCGGAGACTTGGGAGACAAAAAAAACCCTTGTGTGCGACGAAGAGCGGCAGGCACCAGATGCCACGTAAGTCCACCGGAAACGCGATCAGACACCCGCCCCTGCCCCGCAGCTTCCGGAAACTAGTACCTTGGAGGTACTAGTTTTTTACTCTGCATCTTCAGCGGGAAGCCTCGGGTTAGCCACGGGAGCTCTATGCTTCCCAGATGTTGCGATGTGATCACGCCCGGAAAATCCGCCTACCATCCATATCGTCAGCGCGGCAAATGCTCCGTGTGACCGCAGCCTCAGGCTTTCTTTGATTAATCAGTGAGGGCACCTTTAAATTGACACTGAGAGTTAAGGGCATGCTCATCTATTGTCTGGGGCTATTTTGATCTTGGTGTGCAACTGTTAATAAACTGCTGCAGACCCAGGTTGTCAATGGCTGAACAAACATAATTAATCAGAACACCAAATCAGGCTGAAGGGCCAAAGGAAGGTTTATATTTTAAGAAAAGGGTTAGGCAGAAACTTCTCTTTAGGGTCGACAAGGCCCAAAGTGGACTGTCCAGATTTCTGATAGCTAGAGGCACACTGAACATGGCCACTGTCCAGCCCTACCTTTCCCCAGGCCTGGTGGTGGGTCAATGGGAAGCATAACACTGGACAGGCAGGTATATTCTAACTAATTTATGCCAGCTTGTTCTAACAGCCTTAAGGAGCCCCCCCCCCATTTTGTAATCCATGAAAAGATTGGCCTGTGCTTCAGTTCTGCCAATAAAGCTGTGGCCTCATTAAACCAAAGGTTGCGCATCAAGTCTTCATTCTGGGTGCAGGGAAAAGGTAACATTTCCAGGTTTCTAGCATGGTATGAAAACTGCCTCCTTTCTGCTTGTTCTCCTTCCATGGCTATTTCGAGTAGATGACTTGACGATGATACTCCTATCCGCTTCCTTGGCTTCTCTTACATGAAAAGAGTGACCAGGGTAGTCACATAACTCCTCCTAATGGGGGAGGCAAAGAAGCCTGGGGAGGCAATTTCGCATTAAGCAGCCCCGCCTCCTCCTGTTCTGCCGAAACTGGCAGCCTCCGTCCTCCTGTGCTGCATGACCATTTTAAAAAAACACAGGCTGCGGTCACACGGAGCATTAGGCACGCTAGAGAGACAGAAGATAGGCGGATTTTCCGGGCACGATCTTACCGCCACATCTGGGAAGCGTAGAGCTCCCGTGGCTCACCCGAGGCTTCACTCCAAAGATGCGTGGTAAAAAACTAGTACCTCGGAGGTACTAGTTTCAGGAAACCGCGGGGCAAGGGCGGGCGCGTGATCGCGTTTCCGGTGGAATCCCATGGCATCCGGCGCCCGCCCATGTCCCCTCGCAAAAAGTTTTTTTCCCCCCAAGTGTCCTAGGGATGCGCACAAGCACCCAATGGGGCATGCGCACACGTCGGTGTACAGAAAAACCCCCCACCCGTTTGCCACAGCGCACCGCTTCTTTGCCGTGCCGCAGGATTGTGGTGTGATCGGCACCTCCCCCCTACCACCGGACCTCCACGGGGTGTCTGCTCGCGCAACCGCGTGTTATTTTGCCCTGGGGCAAACAGCCCCCCCCCCCGCATTTTCCTGCCCGTGTGACCGCAGCCACAATGTGAAAATGGTGCATGTCTGTCCTGATAGTTAACCTTGTATCAGGCTTCCAACTCTCTTTTGTTGACCATGAATTCACTTGAAGATACGAGCAAATTTTGTATGTAGGTAAGGCTGCCAGTTCCAGGTTGGGAAATACCTGGAGATTTGGGGGGTGGAGACTGAGGAGAGGAGAGTTTGGGGAGGGGAGGGACTTCAGTGGGGCATAATGCCATAGAGTCCACTCTCCAAAGTGGCCATTTTCTCCAGGTAGACCGATCTCTGGCACCTGGAGATCAGTTCTAGTAGCAGGAGATCTCCATAGCACCTGGAGATTGGCAACCCTATATGCAGGGCAAGAGTTTGGGACAAGTCCTGGGCAAAGCCATGGGGAGACATGAACCCTTGGCACAAATGTTACGCGGAACACAAATACTTATTGTTGCACTACAATGTTACCTTTGCTTTACCTTCTTTTTCACACTGTAGGCCATGCCAGCCGGGGTTGCAGTTGCAGCCCTTAAATCTGTCACACCTTCCTCGGTTATTGCAGTTGTTACATGCCACTTTGCAATCTGGTCCATAAAAATCAGACTCACAAGCTGCGAGAACACACAAGCATCAGAACAATCAACAAATGTGTTAACCAACAAAATTCTCACTCTGAATGCTGTTGATCAATTGACCATCACTTCATTTGAAACTGCTACTGCTGTCCATGGCATGCCTCTCCCTTAATCCTCAGATCTGATGAGATTGGGCTATACCAGACTGCCTTCCCTCTTTTACATTGTCCTAGCAGTGGTTTTTATCACTCAGCCCTGGAATTCTGAGCCTGAAAATATTACATTGACATTGTTACCTTGCTCTTACTACCTCAGCAGCTTTGGATTGCCTTCTACATAGCTTCTGGATCCTCCCCAACACCTATGTGCAACAGAGGTCTTCCTGGAAGATGATACCACAGTTCACACTGGAGTTAAACTTTACCACTTCTCCAGGTACGTCTCTCTTCTGAAAATTACTCTGGTCCTTTCCCACCCTATATTCTACCTTCAGATACACCTTCAAGTTTTGCTTTTCTCCTGCCTCCAAAAGTGCTTTTTGAAGTTTAATCCTAATAACATTTGATAAGAAGAACATAAATGTTACCAAGAGGTTGCCTTGCCTGCATGTTGTTTGAGTAATAATCTTACTCTTTGATACTGCCTTTACCTTTCCATTCCTTAATTCCACATGCCATCTTGAGTATGACCTTTCTAATGGTCTAGGATGTTCCAGTACAGATTCTATAGAAGCTCTTTTTCATCTGGCCCAGTCTAGAAAGGTCTGCCCACCACTTAGCTTTTGATGATTTATTTCGCATGGAGACAGAGATTACCCTGAAATGCCACAATAGCCTTTTTGACGTGGCAACACTTTCCTATGGAAGCCTTGGTGTCACAGCAGCTGCTAATGGCATGCAGTGGCAACAGGGCTAACAGATGGCAGCTTTCTCCTCATTTTCCCCACCCCAATTCCCATGGGAGCCATTCCAGCTGCCCTGCTACAGAAGGGAGTGTTACCCAGGGGTGTTTTGTTGTTGTTGTTGTTGTTGTTGTTGTTGTTTTAAAAAAACAGTAATAGACCTACTGATAAAAATACTGATATTGATAGATCAATCGTTGATGTAAAAAGAAAGCCTCAAAAAGGTCCTTTGGTGGCATGAAAGGTGGGGAGATGGCTGCTGTGGAGACTGGGGCAGAGATAATGGCTGCTGTGTAGGCAGGACCAGGAAAGCCCAGACCCCCCACCCCCCTACATACACAGCCATGATATCTCCCAAAACTTTGGTAGTTTTGGTAGCTTTGGTAGATAGCAGATAATGGCTCCCCCACCCTTCAGACTAGAGCCAAAGTGTCTTGGGTCTGATGCTGTGGGAAATGTGGAGAACAAAGCTGCTTCCCGATAGTGTAGAACCAGACCAAATAAGGCATGTGTATGTGATGCTCATCTTGCGCCTTTTCCGTTCTAGGTATGTGCTAATTCCACGAATTCCAATGGCCCCACTTCAAAGAAGAAGATGCTGCAAGGTTGCCTCCATGCTTGAGAGGAGATGGATAGAACCTAATGACAGACTCTCACCATTCTACAATTAAGGATACATCAATCTCCAATTCCGACCTATTACGTTTATTATTACCCTAGTTGAACCCAAACAGATGATAGCCATATTTCTATTCTGTTAAAAACATCTTCATTATTCTGCATGCTAATTCACTGCCCACTCTCTATACGTACAACTGTTATTTCTGTTTCCATTTCATTGTGTCTGATGAAGTGTGTGTGCACATGAAAGCTCACACCTTGAATAAAATTTTGTTGGTCTTAAAGGTACCACTGGACTCCAACTTTGTTCTACTAATTCAGAAAGGTCCTTGACACTGAGGGGCCAAATTAAGTTAAGATGCTTTGGAATTCATGACTGGATCTGTGGAGTGGTTTTTTTTATTGGTAGATAGCAGACAATGGCTCCTTCAGACTAGAGCCAAAGTGTCTTGGGTGGAGATTAACCCTTCTCCAGTCTCATTTTCTCAAATTCCTTGGAGCTACACTTTGTCCTGTGGGGGGAAACATACAGGATCAGGGGCACAGACTTTCCAATTTCTTCAAGGGGGGAGGGCTAGGGCAGAGGCATCGCTGTGCTAGGCCCTTAAAAGAACTGGGGCCCAGTGACATCACAGGGAGGCCCAGTGACATCACACGCCATTGTCACTATCTATGGAGACAGAGCCATGTGGGATTTAGGGAGGGACTCCCCAGAAATGTAGGGGGGCCTGGGAACACCCCCCCAGCAATGTCCCTGGGCTGGGCTAAACCCAGGAAAAGGTGGGAGTTGATCAGTGATTGTAATGGTATCTCAGTTATCTCCTTCTGTGTCCTGTTTCTGAAATTCACTTTTAGAATAGTCACTTTAAGAACTGCAAATATACATACCATGTACATAGGACAAACTAATGGTCACAGATCTGACAGTAAGAGAGGCAACACAGAAAAGCCCATAGGGGAACATTTTAAGTGTTTTCCTGGACATTCCTGGACAGGTGTCTTGTTTCTGCTTTATTCATAAGGGTGACTTTGTACTAAATTGTGGCATCAGAGATGCCTTCATTTGGTAAATGCATGGCTGGAGTCTCTGAGTCAGGGCAGAATACAAAACTGTTGCTGTGCACTCAATTTCTGAGCAATGTACAGAGTTCAGAGTAGTAGCAATCTTCTCAGTACTCTGGGACTGGAATAGCAGTCCCTGGGATTAACAGAAGTGTTCTGGGACTGGAATGACAACTCCTGGGGCTTTCCTGGCTCCCATTATCTCCAATGGGCCTTCAAGCCTTTCCCATTGTTTTCAGTGGGCAATCCTGTTGTTCCTTTTAGTACATCCGAGTTGGTTGCCCCTTTGAAACTATACCACACCATTTTAAGTAACAGCAAAATGAAGAGCGTGAGCATGTAGCAAACTTTCCTAAAATCTCTTTCAGGGATTTCCCCCCTTTAAGATTCTCAATCCTTGGTTTGGTAATCACAATGGACTTGCTTTCTGAAGTGTTTGCATCAATAACAGCTACTGAAGTTGCCCAAGCAATGATGAATGCTGCCAAATGTGCAGACAGAAATTCACCCAAAATTGTCACCCAACACAAATTGTCAACATGAGCAAAAAGTGCTCAATACAAGAGAAAGGAGGAAAAGCAAGCAAGACAAATATGATTTTTGAGCATGATATCTGTGAGGACCGTAGCATCATGGGCCATTGCAGTGGATTCTTTTCAGGGCATTTAATTACACTGTTCAGAAAATGTTGGAGGCTTCAACCTAGCTCCCCTAGCTCTGCCTTTCCCTCCTATATGGTCTCATTTAAAAATGGAAGTGGGAAGGCTTCCATTGAAAGCTATTACAATGGTGCATACACACAAAGATGGAGGAAACTGAATAATGTGTTCTTTAAAAGTGTCTCACACTTTCATAACCCGGGGGAGGGAAGTGATTTTCCTCTGAAACTCCCGGACGGGACGGAGACTACCCCGCCGGTGAGTTGAAAGAAGAGCTTAACCCTAGCTGAAACAGCCCTCCCCTTCACTACCATGAAAAAAATAAAACTTCTTTTCCTGTGGCTAGGAATGTTATCAAATCTCTTTCCTCACTGAGGTAAAGGCAGATAAAGTTCCTAAAGACTAGCATTTGACACCTCCCTGCTAGGAGAAGGGGAGGGGAGAAGGGGGATGTTTAACAATCCCATTGTCTATCTTGCTAGCTCAATTAGCATTTGTAAGAAAGTGAGCCTGGAAGGGAAAAATTGAGGCCAAAGTAAAATAAACCACACAGGAAAGTTTTAAACTCAATATCGCCAGGCACTAGTTGGCTGGGGGAGGCCCAGTTTTCCCTGGAAAAATTCGGGGAAGGCTTGGGCTCCTGCCTCCCCCCCGTAGTTTATGTCTATGTTCAGGATGCCAGTATGTTGATGGTTTGGTTCCCCAGTTAGGTAAACTGCAGCACTAGTGAGCGGGAAAAATTTGAGGTCAAGAAAATGGTGCTGAGGAAAAGAGTTAGCCCCTTCCCAGGGTCTAGCATTCTCGTTCATAGCGATTAGCCCCTCTCCTTTACATCCCATTTATTTATATGTGTATAGAAATTTTGCTTTCTGCTTTCTATATCCACATGCCTTCTCCTGTGATGTCTTTTGATACCATGCTGTCTCTGTTTCCTGTTGCAGGCCAAATGGTTCAGGGCAGACCAAATGGCCTGAACTACCTTAATAGCCATGCCATATAACCACACATTCTTTCACACCTCTAAGTGGAAGAGCCAGACCTGATGGCTCCTGGCTCTGGCCCGCATGCAATAAGTCACGTAGGCAATGGAGAAGCTGGAGTTTGGGTCATGTGACTTCATGCATGGTCTCCAAACTTCTAGCCTATCCCCACATGCAGCTATGACAACCAACAATTGGGCACATCCCCTGTCCGCTCATGATTGGCTGATGGCCACAGCTGATCATGACTGGAATTGGAGTATAATTGTTTTGGTCCCTCTGGGAGTAGTAGCTTAGCTCTGGCTGCTCTCTTGCTTAGCTTTCACTTCCTCCTCTTGTCATTATCTGTTTTATTGCACCTGGAAATGCTGCCTCGTGAGAGACAAAGAGTTGCTTTGTGAACTGGAGCACATGGGTGCAAGGATGGGATTTCTCTTCAAAATCCCTTGGTGTCTAATTGGACTATATACCTTGGACACTCTTGGAATATGGACACTTCACTGGTAACTATAAATATCTTTAATGTGTAGTTAAGGCACAGAGCCATAGGTTTTTCTTGTTTTCAGTAATCTCTTATATAGTCTGTACTGAATAAAAATTATTCTTATTTCTAATGGGTCTCTGATGTTGTAACTTGCATTCCAAGCCTAGATCTTGTAGCCTGACGCTCCCCACACATGCTACCTTGGTAAGAGTGTGCAACTCTATATTGAGTTGCTAATGTGGTTTGTCCCAGATGCCAACTAAGGGTTTGGAATCTCTCCCTTAGGAAAGGCAGGGACTAGGTAAAAGAGGTTCTGGTGGCATATTGTTCTGAAAACCAGAGAGGATATAGACCATCTCGTGGTTTGTTGTTTAATATACTGAAAAGTACAGGATTCCCTCCCATTCCTGGACTGGCTTGGGTGGGCAAAGACCTGTACAATATGGTTTTACCTTCATCACATTGGAGTCCCTTCCAGCCTGAAGCACAAGAACAGCCGTATGGGTCAGGGAGGCAAAACACAAACAATTTACAACCGGAGTCTTCCTTACAGTTCTCTTTGCAAGTCCTGCCAAATGTGTTTTCTCCACAAGCTATAAAGAATCAGAGGAAAATATCACACATGTGAAACACCTGCTGTTGCAATGAATATTCACAACAATACCTCTGGTTACCCACAAAATACTGGATGTGTAACTGTATTGCGGATCATCAAACAAAATTCTAACCTTTCCCAAACACAACGCTGTAATGGAATTAACTGAATCACTTGAATCCGATTGCCTTTAACACAGAGAAAGCTATAACAACAACAAAGCTCTGCTTTGGAATGTTATGTAGGTCAGAATAAACTGTAATACCTCCATTGACTCCCCTAAAAGTTTACCCAAATGACCAAAACAATGGTGCCAGAGTTAAGATGTGAGATTATTTGCATTGCAAAGATATTAAACACTTTAAAATAATCCACAGGTATAAACTGAACAAAAAGTTCCATAAGATATTTATAAAGGCAGAGAAAACTGAGAGCTATACAAAAGGAACCACTCCAAAACCACATGCAGGTGTGAATCTGCTCCAGAAAGAAAGTACAACTACAGTAACCGACTGATTGTGATTCCAAAGTTCATATCCCCTCAAAAAATGATGCAACCAGAAAGGTCCTCCGTCTCAGTCTGATCCCGATGACAGGCTAGTCCACATCTCTCTCTGCTTAACCTACTTCACAGAATGGTGGTTGTGAGGATAAACCAGAGAAAGGGAGAATGAATTGTTTTAGATATTTATATATTTATTGTATTGTGTTTTTATGATGTTAGCTGCCCTGAGCCTGCCATGGCAGGGAGGGCTGGGTACAAATCTAAACAAACAAACAAACAAACAAACAAACAATGGTGTAAACCACTTTAGGCCCCCACTGGGGAGAAAAGCAGAGGGGAAATATCTAAACCAATACATCTTGTCATAGCAAATTAATTAATTACATGTTTCATGAAGAAGTGCTTCCTTTTGTCATTTCAGAACTGGCTGCCAGTTGCAATCCCACGCGCACTTAAGTAAAGGTAAAGGTTCCCTTGCTCGAAAGCCAGTCGAATCCGACTCTAGGGTTGCGGTGCTCATCTCCGCTTCAAAGCCGAAGAGCCAGCGCTGTCTGAAGACGTTTCCGTGGTCATGTGGCCGGCATGACTAAACACCAAGGCGCACGGAATGCTGTTACCTTCCCACCGAAGTGGTACCTATTTATCTACTTGCAATTTCTTGCTTTCGAACTGCTAGGTTGGCAGGAGCTGGGACCAGAGACGGCAGCTTACTCCGTCATGCGCACACTTACTTGGAAGTAAATCCCTCTGCATATAGTACTTTAGAAAGAGCATGAACAAGATTATAAGTGACTCAAGTTCTAGACAGATATAGATCTCTATTATTATTCTCCTTGGCCAGCTTCTTTTTCTAACCTAACCTAAGAAAGGCTTTATTTACTAGGGCAGGAGCTCCAGCATTTTGATGAGATGCCTGCTGTTCAGCTGACACTGGGACGGCTGTGATGGAAGCTGTTTGGCTCTTTGGTGTAAAATACAAGATAATACTTCCTCTTACCCTTTTCACATGTTTTCCCCATGAAGCCTGGTGGGCAAATGCATTCCCCAGTGTCTTCATGGCAGATGCCGCCATTCTTGCAGTCGGGACAGTGAGAGCTACAATCTGGTCCCCATTTCTGAGATTCACACCCTTCATGCAAACACATAAGATTTGATGAGCTAAATAGTAAAGAGATTCTGGCCCCTTTCACTTTACTATTCTAAACTGGATGTTATCTGTTGTTGGCCCGGTTCTGAGTAAAGCAATACAGGGATTGGGGTTTCATACAGCAAATTTCATTCTGGTAATGAGCCGTCTCTGAAGCAATCTGGCCATTTCAAACAGTGCTGCACTAAATTGATGCCCTCCCGCAGTACTTGCCAAATATACCCTAGATCTCTGCACACAATGACAAAGTATGTGCAGAAGCGTTTCGTAAAAGTGAACTGTGCTGTTGATCAGCAGCAGCAGCACCTCTAGCATAAGTCAAACCACAGCAGTGATACTGACCATGACTGAAAGATCACTAGCCTCACAAATATCCACACAAAACACTTGCCAAACTTCAACCACAAACAGGAGAAGTTTGCGTCCCAGAGATACCTACTGGAGATTCACTTGGCATTGGCAACAAGTCACCAGCCAATCATGTCTGGGCATTCATGAGCTGCATGGATGGGTAAACATCAAGACATTTGCTACAGACACCTTTGGTTAGCAACTTCTGTAACACCCATCACTGATGCCCAGAGCAGCCATGGCCCAATGAGCTACTACCAATATGGATTACAAAGGCTGTTTGAAAGGGCCCTCTGAATCAAAGAGGGCTGTTTTTTTGGTCTTGTGTGAAAGCTTTAAAGGCTTCACATGGTTGCCTCTCAGTGGGTCAACCATCCTCCAAGGGGTCCAGGAGCCTTCCCCCAACTTTAATGGATCTTTTTCCAGTGGAAGGATGGGATGGAGGCTTCAAACTTGAGCCAAAGGAAAAGGTGTGGTATAAATATTTCAACAAATAAATAAACTTTGCTCAGTGGAGAGGTAGGATAAGCACCCATGCCAGTAGCTCTAAAATGAGTGAAACCACAGCTTGGGCAGATGCCACCAAAGGAAGGCCACTCAAAAAGGCCACATTTGGCTTTAATGGAGTCCACTAGTCACACATAGTAGTCCACTAAGGGATCAGCAAACTTCCTGGTTTGTTCTATGAGGCCACAAAAAGGGAGGCAAGGGGAGATATCAGGTATCTGGCAGACCATAACACATGTAACAACTGACAATATCTCTCATGTAGGTCTTCAGAATACAAAGCTTGGACATCAATTTCCACTTCTGAAGAAATAAACATTGAAGGGCTTTAAATATATGTTTCACCAGATGCTGCATTTTATCCTTTGGCTGCTGTAAAGGAGTAAACATTGTGTGTACTAAGTGTGCACAATGTGTTGTAGCTTATCTAATGCTTGACAAATGAGCAGCAAAGCCAGGATGTTTAGACAGCCTGTGCGGGGTTGCCATATGCGGCCAATTAGGTTGGTGGATCACAAGCGATGCAGGCTTGGATATATCTTTAGATATTTGTAACTGATAGCTAGAAGTGAGAGACTCTCTTGGGCGGGGGTTTGGCATCCTGTTTCTAGCCTAATGTAGGAACAGGTGACATTTACTCTAGAATATATGTCCCACAAACATAATGGCTTATATCCCACAGAAGATTTCTGTGTGCCCAACAGCCCTTGCACACACATGTATGTAAAGTGCCATCAGGTCACAGCGAATTTATGGCAATCCCATAGGGTTTTCAGGGCAAGAGACTTACAGAGGTGGTTTGCCATTGCCTTCCTCTGCTACAGACCCTGGAATTCCTTGGTGGTCTCCCACCCAAATACATACCAGGGCCAGCCCTGCTTAGCTTCTGAGATCTGATGAGATCCGTCTACCCTGGGCCATTCAGGTCAGGAGTTGGACACAAGAGGAAACACTAAATTTACTCACTAAAATGACCCAAGGATTCTTATCTATAGTTCAAAGTTCAGAAACAGGTCAAAACTTACTCCGTACTATCAGCCTAGTATAGGCCGAGTTAAAGTGGTTTCCTCCTATGTATCTGGCAGAATAAACTCCCGCATCTTGTAGCTGGACCCCCCTTCCAATTGGCACTTTCAGCAGTTCTGGAACTTCCTGCCTGAGGATAGAATATATGAAAGTACCTGTAGAGAAAAGAGCCCCAAAAAATAAGACTGAAGACGAGAGCAAACAGACAGGTGCACTTCCTGAAGGAAGAGATTTACATACGAATAAAACAGAAGTTCAGCTCCACCTTAAAGACTAACAACACTTGTGTCACATTTTGCCACAATAGACTAACATGGCTACCCCCACTTAAGTAAGAAAACAACTCAGAGAGGGTTCACACACGTATTTGTATTATTTAATGATTGCGACATCAGTGTCTCTCATGAGTGAAACAATGATCACAGATAAAACTTTCACAGTTCTGAGTGATCACAGATAAAACTTCCACAGTTCTGCCAGTGAGGTGCAGCCAACCATCCTTCAAAGAGCCCTCCTTTTGCCTACGGAGTCTTCCTTCAAACTGAGCTCTTTCTCCATGGAAGTGTAATGTAAGTTGGAGGAAGGTTCCTTAGGCTGGAGAAAGTCTTAAAAATTTGCTCAGTGGGGCAGTAGGATAGGGGTAGGGCCCACCCTATCATTTCAGACACAACATTTTTTTCACTCCTAATATTCAGCTGGCAGAATAGGCCCCGAGAGATACAGGCCCAGTTCTGGCAACAATCTAACTGTGCAACAGACCTCTGGGAAGGTCCTACTGGTCTCCATCATGTAGTATAAAGTTGTGAAGCAGCAGGCACACCATCAGGCTGCCCATACAAATGTGTGACGGCACAATCGGAGCTAATTTTTGATGGCCCCTGTTCACCCCTTTAATGAGAAACCACAGGTGAGGCTTCCCACATCACAGCCTGTGTAACTTCAGCATGTCTACTCAGGAGTCAATCAGAAAGGAGAAACAGTACATGGGTACCATTTTTGTAGATCACTGCATCTTCCTCCTTAACCACCTGTCTGTGGAAGGGAATGCTGATCAGTTCTTCCTTGTTTGCTGTAATAGTTAAGGCCACTGGAAGGAAGGAAGCTAAAACAAAAATAAACAAAAAAGAATGTGGATCAGCTATGATAAACATAACTTCTTTATGAATCCTCCCAAACAGAAGATGGACTGACACACTGGTGTCTGCTGGTGGGGACTGCTATCAAAATTTAACTAACTATTCATATAACTCAATTCGTTTAGAAATACACAGGAATCCTGTAGCACTTTAAGACTAATGTTTTATTCCAGCATAAGATTTCATGAAGTAAAGACAACTTCTTCAGATGCACACGAAGATGGATCTTCACTATATAGACGTTTGAAAAAACCCTTCTATTTCTGCCCTGAAAGTCATAATGCTTAAACAAAAAGAACTTCAGATGGAAATTCCAGCTTATTAGGATCTGTTAAATTCCACACCACTTTTCTGCTTGGCTTGAATAAAGACTTGAGATTTCTCACTTGTTACAAGTTTATTTATTTATATCCCACCTTCCACTCCACTGGGGACTCAGAGTAGTTTACATCATTCTCTCCTCCTCGTCCTCATCTCCTCTTCCATAATACAAAACCTTTGCAGAACCTGGGACTGACTACCAGTTACAGAGGTTAAAAAGCTTTGCTTAATTACCAAAGAATGACAGTCAGTGCAATCCTAAACACGGTCCTACCTGGAGCTTAGAAGGGTGTAACTCCATTTAGGATTGCACTGCAGGTTTCTTCCCACATGTGCCATCAATAAAAAGGAGACCATCTTAAATCTGCATATCTGTTACACTTTACAGTAATAAAAAACGTTTTGTGTATAACCCTTCTTTAGGGAGATCATCTTGCATTCCGTGTTGTTTTTCTTTCAGGTAAAACTAAATACAGTAGTAAATGGCATCTGCAGATTTTCTGTTTACATTTCAGTTTACATAATTGCATTTTACCCTGTACTTCTTGCTCTGTTTGAACCTTTGCAAACAAACAAACAGACTTCAAAACGATACATCCTAGGTTTAATTTTGGCTTCCCTGAGTCACCCTTCCAGAGCCTGGCTCTATTTGAACACGTTGTTTAGTTTACCCACACAGTCTGCGGTTCACAGTATTGTTATAGTGGAAAGGAATCCCTGTTCTTCAGTGGGCTCAGTTCCAATATATTTTTAGCTCGTGGCCTATAACTGAGGAATCTGTTTTTTACAAATAGCCCAGATTCACTATTCAGAGAAGAACAATACTGGGGTTTCAGCAGGGTTTGTTTGTATCACTTGTCAGTTCAGGATCCAGAGCTTTTAAGCACACTTGTTGCAAGATTTAGTTCCTTTGCTGCTGCTGCTGCTGCTGCTGCTGCTGCTGCTGCTGCTGCTGCTGCTGCTGCTGCTGCTTTGGAGGCTGCTCTCAAAGCTAGAGTTGCCAAGTCGCGGCGGGGGATTGTAGCTCTTCACAGAATCCTTGCCACGGGGACAGCGAGACACGTTGCACCCGCTGTCACCAGGATCTGACACTACGTGTCATGTCCTGGCGACGGCAGTGCAATGCGTCTCGCCGTCCCCATGGCAAGGATTCTGTGAAGACATGCAGATCCCCCACTGCGATTTGGTGAGATTTGGCAGGCCTACTCAAAGCTCCTCCTCACTGAGTGATTCAGGAACAGCATATCACGTGCTAAGAGTGGTGGCATTTGATAGTGGCCTCCTATGTATGCATAGCTCTGGAATCAGCACTTAGCATCACTGTCAAGATCTGGGCTGTGCCACCAGAGGCCTACTAGGCCCAGGGAGCCTGGCTAGCAGTAGGGGAGGCTGAGCCTACAAATCCCAGAAGGCCTTGGGAAGTTTTGGCGCCGATTTTGACCAATAGGGAAGAAGAGGGTGCAAGAGGAAAAGCTGTTATTCTTCCCAGGGAACAGGGCCAGAAGAGAGGCTGCTATGGGGAAGAAACCCTCATCCTGAGGGAAGGGTGAGTAGTCTAAGGTCACTTGAGATAGTGAGCTAGGGACAGTATATATTTAGATGCATTAGGGCATTTGATTTATTTTATTTTCGACCACTTACTGTTATTATTCTGCACCTTGTTTGTTTGACCTCCTATAAAATAAACCTTTTCCTTGTTGTTTTCTCTGCCTGGTCCTCACGCCTATTATTTGGTTAAAAAGGAGGTCTGAAGGTCTTGGGAGGGTGCTTTGGGTCTTCTCAAGGGATCCTAAATTCAGAGTGGTGACAGTGTCAGGTGGCACCTCACCTGAGCCATGACAATCGCAACTCAGATCACAGAGGGAAAGACCACCGTTGGTTCCTTTTGGATACTTTGCATGGACATGGGGACTTTTTGTCTATTCTTGGAAATACCAAATTTAGCTATCCACAATGGGGGAATCATGCCGATGGAGGAAGATAAACTTTGGCCACTTTACAGAGAAATTTTGCTTATGGAGCTGGCTTAATGCCTTTCACCTACTACGTGATATTGTACAGTTTGGGTTCTATTATTTCTTTATTTTTACCTAGGGCACCTACCATATAAGTATCACATTTTTCTTTCCTTCTGATGTTTGCTTTACATGTGTTCCAGTCAGTACTAGGGGTAGATTTGAATAATTGCTGAGTTTCATGTTTTCAAAGGAAGAGGTGCTATTACATCTCTGTCTCAGTAGTCTTTGGGACCACACGGGATCTTTTTTGCACCTAGCATGGCTTAAGCCATCTGTCTCTGGCCCACAGGTTGTCAGCCCATATAGAGCAGAATTTTGGGGGCTAGGGAACATGGGGTCAGCAATGTTGGCTGCATCAAAACATCACTTCTGAGGAAAACCTGGAAGTGATGTAGGGTAGCTTTAGGAGTTTCCATTGGGTCCTAGAGCTACCCTACATCACTTTCAGATTTCCTCTGGAAAAGACATATGCAGCCCATGTCTCCAGGTCGGTTATTTTTCTCCCACTTCCCTGTAACGTGAGACCTGGCCGCCCTTTTTTGGACTGACTTTTTGGAGGAGGAGGAGGAGGAAGAGGAAGAAGAAGAAGAGTTGGACTTATACCCCACCCTTCACTCGGAGTCTCAGAGCAGCTTAGGATCTCCTTCCCTTCCTCTCCCCACAACAGACACCCTGTGAGGTAGGTGGGCTGAGAGAGCTCTAAGAGAACTGCTCTTGAGAGAACAGCTCTGAGAACTGTAACTGACCCAAGGTCACCCAGCCGGCTGCATGTGGAGGAGTGGGGAATCAACCCCAGTTCTCCAGATTAGAGTCTGCCGCTCTTAAACACTACACCAAACTGGCTTTCAGGACCTGCTTTTAGCACATATGCATAGAAAGCAAAGGTACCACACCTCTTGCTCTTTTGGCATAAATGCTGAGAGGACCAATAGAATTGTGCAGCAAAGTCAGTCAGTGGTGGAGCCAATTCCTTTTTAGTACTACTAGCAGGTTTAAAGGACTTCCTCTTTGAAGAAGCACACCTTTGCATTCTTACTCTTATTCTCCCCACCACCTATGGGCAAAGTTTCCTCTAAACTGAGTTAGTGCAAGCCAGCTCACAGCTTTTTAGCCTCCAGCTCACACATTTTTTTCTTTGCTCGGGAAGGAAGGCTCCCGAGCAAACTAATTTAGGCAGTAGCCAAATCGCTCGCTCACAACTTTAATGCCAGTAGCTCACAAAGTAGAATTTTTGCTCACAAGACTCCACAGCTTAGAGGGAGCATTGCCTATGGGTGCGTTCAGACGGGCAGCTACCCTGCCATTGGCCAGCTCTAATTTGATCCAGATCTTTTTTATCCAGCCTTGCATGACCAGACAGCTCCCCTTACCATGCGTGTACTCTGCAGTGGATTGTCTAGAGTCCACCTGAAGGAGCCACGAGGTCGGGTTTTTTTTTACAAATTCTGTTTGCGCATGCACATCTGTGCCTCAACGTGTACTTGGTTTCCCACGCATGCACAGAATTGAATGGTTAAAGCACCACCAGTAATACCTCCCTTTAGGTACCATTTCAATTAATGCAGTTCATAAATTTCACGGGCCATTCAGAAACATGAGATTGTCCGGAACGTTTGAGTGGAGCTCTGTGGATGTTGCACGTTTACGTGTTTGTGCGTATATCACTAAGAATTTTTTAAAATGGCGGCCATTTGGGATGGTCTGGAGCAGAGCATCCCGATGGGCTGATTGCACGCTGGAACAATCAGATAGAGGAAAGTCCATCATTGGCCCGTCGGCAATCAAAACTACTGGATTTTCACCGGTATCTTTTAAGTACGGCTCCCTGGCGGGGCTAAACATACTGATCACATCAAAACATCACTTCTGAGGAAAACCTGGAAGTGATGTAGGGTAGCTTTAGGACTTTCCATTAGGTCCTAGAGCTATCCTACATTACTTTCAGGTTTCCTCTGGAAAACACATATGCAGCCCATGTCTCCAGGTCAGTTTATTTTTCTCCCACTCCCCCGTAATGTGAGACCTAGCTGCCCTTTTTTGGACTGACCTTTTGGAGGAGGAGGAAGAGGAAGAAGAAAAAGAAGAAGAGTTGGATTTATACCCCACCCTTCACTCGGAGTCTCAGAGCAGCTTAGGATCTCCTTCCCTTCCTCTCCCCACAACAGACACCCTGTGAGGTAGGTGGGCTGAGAGAGCTCTAAGAGAACTGCTCTTGAGAGAACAGCTCTGAGAACTGTAACTGACCCAAGGTCACCCAGCCGGCTGCATGTGGAGGAGTGGGGAATCAACCCCAGTTCTCCAGATTAGAGTCTGCCGCTCTTAAACACTACACCAAACTGGCTTTCAGGACCTGCTTTTAGCACATATGCATAGAAAGCAAAGGTACCACACCTCTTGCTCTTTTGGCATAAATGCTGAGAGGACCAACAGAATTGTGCAGCAAAGTCAGTCAGTGGTGGAGCCAATTCCTTTTTAGTACTACTAGCAGGTTTAAAGGACTTCCTCTTTGAAGAAGCACACCTTTGCATTCTTACTCTTATTCTCCCCACCACCTATGGGCAAAGTTTCCTCTAAACTGAGTTAGTGCAAGCCAGCTCACAGCTTTTTAGCCTCCAGCTCACACATTTTTTTCTTTGCTCGGGAAGGAAGGCTCCCGAGCAAACTAATTTAGGCAGTAGCCAAATCGCTCGCTCACAACTTTAATGCCAGTAGCTCACAAAGTAGAATTTTTGCTCACAAGACTCCACAGCTTAGAGGGAGCATTGCCTATGGGTGCGTTCAGACGGGCAGCTACCCTGCCATTGGCCAGCTCTAATTTGATCCAGATCTTTTTTATCCAGCCTTGCATGACCAGACAGCTCCCCTTACCATGCGTGTACTCTGCAGTGGATTGTCTAGAGTCCACCTGAAGGAGCCACGAGGTCGGTTTTTTTTTTACAAATTCTGTTTGCGCATGCACATCTGTGCCTCAACGTGTACTTGGTTTCCCACGCATGCTCAGAATTGAATGGTTAAAGCACCACCAGTAATACCTCCCTTTAGGTACCATTTCAATTAATGCAGTTCATAAATTTCACGGGCCATTCAGAAACATGAGATTGTCCGGAATGTTAGAGTAGAGCTCTGTGGATGTTGCACGTTTACGTGTTTGTGCGTATATCACTAAGAATTTTTTTAAATGGCGGCCATTTGGGATGGTCTGGAGCAGAGCATCCCGATGGGCTGATTGCACGCTGGAACAATCAGATAGAGGAAAGTCCATCATTGGCCCGTCGGCAATCAAAACTACTGGATTTTCACCGGTATCTTTTAAGTACGGCTCCCTGGCGGGGCTAAACAGACAGATCACAGAAGTGGCACCTTTCCCAGATGTGACTGTCTGATCATTCCCTTTAAATCCACCAGGCGTCCGTGCCTGGGGCGGATGTAAAGACCCGTCTGATCAGGACCTTAACACAATCTGACATAGTCACCTCCCCATCCCTTCCAGCCAGTTCTCCAGTGCTTTGTATACACTTGCAGCATGAAGCACCACCTCCCCATTAAGGAAGTCATAACTCTGGGCCCTCCTCTTCCTGTGAGTGTGATGTTACACTAGTTCAGCTCAATGGGTTCCATGCTGCCACTTCAGGTTTAGGTTCAGGCTGAAGACTATGGGCTTAAGTCTCTAGAAGTGGGGAGTCTACAAGGCTTCACATGGGGTGGGGAGCTCACATCCTCCATTCCCCTGCTGATCCTTGGGGCCCCAATGATAAGGGGAAGCTTGGGCTGGAAAGCGGACATGGTGATGGGATGGGGCTGGTCTTGGACTGAAAAGCATACTGGATGTTCTACTTCTACTAGTCATTGGGAAGACATAAGAATCTGTCCACTGCACTGACACTGCAACCCTAAACAGAGTTATAGCCTTCTAAATCCATTAAGTAAATCCATAGGGTATAACTCTGTTTAGGACTACTCCCTGACTCTCCATTTGTAGCTTGTATTGCCTACATGGTTTCCAACGCACACTTTCCAGCATACCTTCGTGACCATGAGGGCTAGAAAGTTGCTTCTTGCGAACACTGAATACTGAGATACTTAGGAAGTAGAAATAAATTACCACTACCACATTCTGTGCTTTGCTAAACAGTACACATGGAGCCCTGCTTATACTTCAGGGTTTACATTTACATGGCTGTGTGACTTCCACAAAGCACCAATATACAATTTAAGAAAACATCCTTGAGTTAACTTGATCCTATCCCAAGTTAATACTTGCCCATACTTAGTATCTCTCTTTACTTCAAGACCGATTTAGAAAGCATTATTTATTTGGGGAGTTGTCTTAATTTTTTTAAAAAGCATATGCACCTCTTTCTGTCTAATGGGTATCTAAGGTGGCTCTAAAAATACGATGCAATGTACACAATAAACCAAGAGATTATAAATCATAACAGCAGTGATAATTAAGCTTCATTTAAAAGAGCAAGATGATAATTTAAAAGACAATTGCATTGTAAAACCCAAAAACAAGGAAAAGGGGGGGGCAACCACCAAAACTCAACCGAACAGGCTTTGCCTAAGGCCTAAGAGGTCCCTAATTTCGTTGAATCTGTGGGCACTTTTAGAATTTTGAGAGTAGGGATGGGAGCTGCCAAAATGGCTGCCATGGAGGGTCAAAGCCAATTACAAAATGGGTGCCATAGGGTGATAGAACCAGGTACGAAACACTGCAAAGTTGCAAATCAAGCATCCTTCTACTATGGAAAAATTGTTTTTGGGTTCTCCTGCTCCAATGTGGTAGAGGAAAGCTGGGATTGGCTCTTTATTTGAGGAAGAGATGCTTTGGGGGATGAAACAAATGGATACCAGGAAACCCCTCAGTGGACATCATGGTACCCTTAGGGAATCACTGCCTTAAAAGATGACAAAAGGGGTATTATGTACTGGGTCTTGAAATTAGAGTGCTTCAAATGACATACAGTACCTTCTTGTGGCATCTTCATTGTGTGTATTCTTGTAATTTGATCTTTGAATTTTCCTTCACAGTAATAAGCGCCAATGCTTTTGTCTGACTGTGCCCTTTGCCATACCACCTTTTTTGCTGTTCTTCGTGTCTCATCTTCAGTTACTATTAGGGGGTCTTGATGCTGGTTCATTAAGGCTTCATAGTCGCGCCCAATGGTGACAGAATCTGGTGACCACCAGCTTGGTGCAATACAGATTAGCGATGTCTCTGAATCAGCCACAGTAGGAAGAGAATTGATCAGCATCAAGTCTAGGACTGCTTCCACATTACCTGCAAAGAAAGAAGAAAGTTGTTATGTATTGAACCTGAACTGTCCTTGCAAAAGGACTGAGCTTGGGATGCATAACAATAGATTGCTAGGATCCTAGAATAGACCAGTAGGGAGACAGGGATCCTAGAGTAAACCAACTGGGGAATGATAGAGTGTAAATAGCCTATCGTTGGGAGTGGGGTGTGTTTGGGTGTAACCCTTTTCAGGCATAAATTCCTGGCTTCAGCCAGGGATTGCAGTCTTCTTTCTCTTGCTGAATCACTAATAAACTATGAGCTGATCACTTCTACGTGTCTGAACCCAGTATATTTCACTGGCAACGAAGGTGGGACCCCAATGAGCGAGCCTGACCCAGCCTCCAGCACCGCAATGCGTAACAATCTCCAGGACTCCGCGCCTCCCATCGCTCCATGGGTCATGACTGCCGCTCCGGGAGTAATTCCTGCATTCGACCCCACTTACCCGGAGCTTTGGGAAGCGTGGGTAGAGCAGCTGAGGTACTTCGTTCGGTTCCAAGGCATAGACGATGCAGACAAGAAGAAGTCGCTCCTGCTCAGCACATGCGGACGCGCAACCAGCTCCAGGACTCCGCGCCTCGCATCACTCCACGGGTCATGACTGCCACTCTGGGAGTCATTCCTGCATTCACTCACCCGGAGCTTTGGGAAGTGTGGGTAGAGCAGCTGAGGTACGGTTCCAAGGCATAGACGACGCAGACAAGAAGAAGTCGCTCCTGCTCAGCACATGCGGCATTGCCACGCTACACCTAGCCCAGGGCCTCATCGCCCCTAAAACCCTTGAACAATGAACTCGTCAAGGCCCTCACCGGCCATTTCATGCCTTAACCAACCAAGATGGTGAAGCACAATGTTTGAAGAGTCCATTTTCCTGTCGTCCCGTCGTCCCCGTGTTTTCCCCCTCATGATTTAAGATTAAGATTAGGGCAAAACTATGTGTTATATGTGTTGCCAAATTTGCATTTACTGAAAAGAAGAAAAAGAAGAGTTGGTTTTTATACTGCATTTACTGAAAAGAAGAAAAAGGAGTTGGTTTTTATACCTTGCTTTTCTCTGTCTTAAGCAGTCTCAAAGCGGCTTACAATCTCCTTACCATTCTCACTACACAACAGGCACCTTGTGAGGCAGGTGAGGCTGCAAGAGCTCTGAGAGGCCTGTGACTGACCCAAGGTCACCCAGCGGGCTTCATGTGGAAGAGTGGAGAATCAAACCCAGTTCTTCAGATTAGAGTCCATGGCTATTAACCACTACACCATGCTGGCTCACCATGCATATTATCATAAGGTAACGTGAATGGGTAGGGGGGATGCACTCATCCCTTTACTGCCAGATCTCACCCTTCAAGTGCTACGTTCATACCCTAAGATAATATTTCTCCTACCCAGACTTACCACTGGTTTTGGGGTCTGAGGAAAAAAATTCAAACACTCTGGATGGCTATTTGTAGTGAAAACCAACAAAGGAAAGTGATAAGCACATGCTTCCTACTTTCTGATTATGCCCTGCTAGTTCACCAGCCTCTACATTTGCCCTGTGAGGTTACAGTTCTTCTAGTAGAGGAGGGAGTCATATTTTCCTACCCATTTCCCTCAACTGCCCATCTCCATGTTGTGGGGTTGCCAACCTCCAGGTAGGGCCTGAAGATCTCATGGAATTACAACTGATCTCCTGAAGAAAATGGATTTTCTGGATGGTGAACTCTAAGCATTATATCCCTCTGGGATTTCTCCCCTCCTCAAACCCCATGCTCCACCCCCAAAATCTCCAGGAATTTCTGTGCTCAGAATTGGCAACCCTACCATGTTGCCACTCATGCTGTTCCTGAGGGCTCCTTGACCCTCTCCTAGGAGCAGAATTTGGGTGGGGCTTATCAGGCTGCAGAAGGAGTGGGGAGATACAGAAAGCTGCCTCACTCTGCGGGTGGTGAGTTGGACCAAGTCCCTGTGTTTTCCTCACAAATGCATGGACTACCATTTTTACGAGTATTTGTTTATGTAACAAATATATCTCTATGTATGTAAAACTGCCAACCTAGCAGTTCGAAAGCAAGAAATTGCAAGTAGATAAATAGGTACCACTTCGGTGGGAAGGTAACAGCGTTCCGTGCACCTCGGTGTTTAGTCATGCTGGCCACATGACCACGGAAACGTCTTCGGACAGCGCTGGCTCTTCGGCTTTGAAACGGAGATGAGCACCGCAACCCTAGAGTCGGATTCGACTGGCTTTTGAGCAAGGGAACCTTTACCTTTACCTTTATGTAAAATTCTGCGATTCTGTGGCAAAGATATGTCACTGCAGAGGTTCTCTTTGCAAACTCCTCTGTTTCTATGTGGGATAAAGCAACACGCATCTTCTCTCCCAGTCTTTCAAAGGCAGGACATAAATGTTTAGCTCCATCAGAGGTCCCAAATACTTAGCCTTCTTTCAGTTTCTTACACTACAGTCCTATGCAGAGTGACTCCACTGGAATCAATAGGCTTCAACTGGAGTAGTTCCGCGGAGAATTTCACTGTATATAATCCAAGTTAGTAGACATCACTAGGCTGTGTCAATAAATAAGTTAATTATGTGTTTGAAGAGGTACTTCCTTTTGTCTGACTGGACCCAATCAATTTCATTGGCTGTCCCATGTATTGGCTGTCCCCATGTATTAAGGGTGTATTCCAGTTGGATACTTTGTTTGGATGTAAAATCTGAGCTAACATAGGACCCAGTTTTGTCTGATAGCTCTTTTTTAAAGGGCATAATTCACTTGTTCTTGCTGTGATTTTTCCTTTCAGTGAAATTCAGAGTACAAACAATCACTACATTTTTTTCCTCCTGTGGGGTGACCTCAGCTTCCTTTTGCCCACGCTATGCAAAGACAGAACAGGCATAGCCTACAATTTTAGTAATGATTCAGGCATTCGACCTGCTACCCTCCTACCCAAGTTTCAAGTGAGCTGTCTGCCTTTAAAAAAAAGAATTAAAGTGGTCAGGGTCAGTGCCAGGTTTTTTTGCACACTAGGCGAGGCTACCTCCTGCCACCCCCCTGTGCACCCACCAATTTTCAAACATAAATGCATTTTAGGAAGAATGAAAAACACAAAATTTGAAATTGCTATTTTTTTTTATTGTGAGAACAAGTAATACAATCTTTGGCCCCGGTCACACAGGCCGGATATTGTGGGGGGGAGGTGTGGCTAATTGCCCCGGCGCAGTTTGATGCGTGATTACACAATCAGACACGCCGGCGGCACACCACGGGTCCTTCCCTTGGCGCCGGTGGGTAAACGAGGGGCCGGAGGGGAATCCCGCGCGCCGGCGTGATCACACCACGGGCGTCTGGAGGCAGCCCGTGGCAAACGTTTACTAGTACCTTGGAGGTACTAGTTTTTTAAGGCGCATTGTTGGCGGTAAGCCACGGGTGCGCTCCACTTCCCAGATGTTGGGGTGTGATCGCGCCCAGATAATCCACCCACCATCCGTGCCTCTCCCACGGCAACTTTGCCGTGTGACCGGGGCCTTTGATTTTCTCTCTGAAACAGAAAAACACAAATCACAAAACATTTTGAAAAATCCTGTTAATTGTGATGATGAAATTTGTCTCTTTAATGTTTCCATTTCAGGCACATCAGAATCTGGATGAGAAAGAGATTGTATGGGGGCTTGAACTTGGGTCTTCTAGATCCTGCTCCTACACTCTGACCACTACACCACACTGTCAGTAGCCCCCAACCCATCTAATTATGAGCTGATGCAGTTGCCCTTAGGATAAGGATGCTCCATCATCTCTAGAACAGCAGTTTTAAAGGGACAAAGAAAGTTGGCCCTCATACAGTTTTCAGCTGGTCTGATGTATGGCTCCAGTTAAGACTGTGTGAGGCACAGTAAACAAATTAATTATATGGAAGCGACTACTACTTTGGCAGCACTTACCTCCCCAGACTTTTCACAAAGCTAATGAGCAAAACTAGGAATCTGTTTGATTAAAGAAAAGAAGGCTATAATGCGGAAGAATCTTACTTGGGACTAGAGAATGTTTATTTTGAGCATCAGCACCAATCTAAGTCACCAATGCCAAATAAACATCAAATGAAATTCATTCAGCAGCTTGGTTCTCCTTTATTCAGGAATAAACCACAATTGAACTCAGTAGAACTTACATCTGAGTCAACACACATAGGACCAGACTACTCACATTTTTATAGGCAAGAATGATCCTCCATGCAAATATCAACAATTCAGCATCATACGTCATACTGATATGGAAGGGATAGGTTTGGGAAGAAGCCATAGATCATTGGTACAGCACATGCACATTTGTGTGCACAAAGCCATAGGTTCAATCCCTAGCATCTCATTAAAAGGATCTCCACTAGTCATGCTGAGAAGAATCCCTGCTTGAGATTCTGGCTAGATTTGACTTGATGCAAAACAATGTCATAAATAAGTGCAATCCTAAACCCATTGACTTCAATAGAGGTCGTAACTTTGCTTTGGCTTTGCACTGTTCCCTTCTGAAGCTCAAAGGATACCATGTATTCATGAGAAGAATGAGTGGAACTAGAGGTGGGCATACATTGGAATGACATGGGGGGGGCTCTCTGGTCTTCAGGCATAAGGCTTTCTCTACTTCTGGGATCTTGCCAAGTTATTTGTGATAACTGCACTTACTTCAGCAACACCCCCATCAGTAAACAGCCTCTCAAATTTCATGTGCATCACTTGACAAGGGGGTTTCAGCTGTGCTAGGTTTGCTTTTCTTTTTTACACATCCTTGCCCACACAGTGTTTTGCCATAATCCGCTCCCCATAGCATCTTTGGGAAAAAACAATTTGGGCTGAAGTAACCTTGGCCAGTTTCTTCTACACTTTGCAGTGAACAAGGAGAAATCAAGATGTCCTGCAACCTTTGCCTGATCCTCTTTTCCCATTACCTGCCATGACAGAAGCACCATATTTTGTTTCTGTGCAAACAAGTCCTCATGTTATCTATCTCC